GTAACAATATCATAGATAGCATTTTGTTATTCAATTATGAATCATATTTTGAATAGAGACATTATCATTTTGTCAAATTGCTTTGTGCCACCATCAAAACATACCATTTTGTACAGCATTTGAACTAACCACTAAGTCTAGTGAACACGGAATTGGCCATAGATGCTTAAAGCAAATCTACGCTCGTATATTCTCGAGGCTTACTTCATATTGTGTCATCTTTTGATGGTTTGTCAAAAAGTAACAACCAACTCATCATATGCAAACTATTTTGCAATCCTTCAAGTGACATTGGGTATCTTAATTCTGGGTCTTTTGCATTATCCAAATTCATTTATCAAACGGTAACAGTATATTGCTTGTGATAATGTTACATAGATGCAGAAAAAGTTTAACAGACTGCATTTAGATTACCATGTGTGACTAGCTACAGCCCTTTAAACTCTTCAACAACTACACACCAACTATGGGTTTCAACCATCAAAATAATTTGAATTTAATCCTCCTTAAATTAAAATGCATTTTGATTAGTATTATTTGACACTAGCAACTCTGAATTCAAATTTCTAATATGGTTCAGATCAAATTCATTTTTCTGTAGCTAGACAAATATGTAGCAATACAATAAAAATATTAAATACAAATAATAATAAATGATAAGATAAAGATAAGTGTGTCAAAAGAGCATTTGGTGACAGTGTACACACATCCATTTGCATGTTGCCCTAAAAACTATTGTGTCAGCCAATTCTAAAATACTTTACCGAAAAACTTGCCTCATGCTCTGGCTATCTTTATCCTTATGACCAAGTCCTTGGAAAGGAAACTAAGAGACAAGATTGGGACCAAAAATATTCGATATTGTCAAGATAAATTGTTGCATCCCACAAATTGACGAGATGGAAAACTGCATTTTTTTCTGTTTGATCAAACGGTGTTGTGTAAGTAATCTTTTCTTAAATGATTCTATTCCATTTTTCTAAAAGCTTGATCCCAATTACACAATTCTCTTTCCTTCTTTATTGTAAGGAGGGAGTTTCCGAACAGTTTTCTTATTGACTCCTTTCTAACTCTACACTTAATTCGCTGGCTAATTTTCTATACAGACTGAGTGATACAAGCCAGCAACTAGCTTGTGAACCCCTGCTGTAAAGCATGAGGATGTAAATAAATTTGATCAGGATTCCTGACTTTTTTGGTTCTAGTTCAAAAAGATTTTACTTTCTAATTCTATTGCTCCTTTTTTAATAAATTTGCCATTATATTTATTCTTAGGATACATATAAATAATGTTTATTTTTTTAATAATTATGTATAATAATTGCAACCACTAGGGCAAGGTATTTATTGAAATCACTAACCTCAAAACCTTAAAACTTTTAATTTTATATATATAATCTTTAGCATATATTCTTGGCTTCTAATATGAATTTCTCATATTTTTATCATAGTTTAGTTCCTACATATCCAAAATTTATTTTTAAACAATGTCCTGAATATGTTTAGAAGGAAGAAAATCCAAAAACTATTGTTTACCATACGTGTTTTCCCTTCAGTGACCTTAAAAAAACTAATTATTCTGACCTTCATATGGCACGCCTAATCATCCGCATGTTTAGACTTCTGTTTGCAGGGGTAAGTACATTATGCAAATGTGTATATTAATTAATATTAAACTTTAATCAAATACTTTACTGTAATAATATATTTAAAAATAGAACAGTGTCAACAGTTTTCCAAGGAAAACATCAAATATGTCAGAGCATTCACTCTTGTTCCATTTTTTTATTTGGTAGTAAAATGTATTATTTTTTTACTCAATTAAGTTCTTAAAAGTAATTTTGTACACCTTTATCGCCCAATTAAACTGGTTTTGATGATTGAAACTAAGGTTTTTCTTGAAGTTTTCTATATATATTTTTATTGTACTCTGTAGCAAAGCTAGTTAACTTGTCAAATTCACTTGATTTATGACAGGAAAATATGGCAGAGCACTTTAATTCATGTCTGAAAAAATAACACAGCTCAGTTTAGGTCTGGTCTTGCACATAAGCTAAATAAGCAGCAGTGTAGGGCCTTACATTATGAGTATAGCTTAGGGCCTCACATATTTATATCACTATTTGGTGGAGCGGAAGGGCCTGCTAACTACAAGTCTAACAGGAAAGATATTGTAGTAGAGCACTTTAATTAATTGATGTTCAGACATCAGTTAAACTGAGCCCGTTTTTAGTGACATTCGGAGTTATATTTGCACTTAAGATAAATAAGATGCAGGTTAGGGCCTCACATTTTTATATCATGAAAGGGGAAGTTATAGCTTAAAGCCATAACAAGTATCTAACAGGAAATAATAGAGCACTAATTGATATCTGAAGAATAACAGAGATCATTTTCAATAACCAGGGTTTGAATTGCACACAAGCTGCAGCTTAGTGTCTATGTTATGACTATAGTTTATGGCTTCATATTTTTGCATGTATTTGTTGGTTGAAGAACCTGTTATGTATAATAGCTCACAGTGGTGACACTTCACACCATTGTTGAGTGTAAGTAGTTAATCATCTACTTCGATATTAATACAAAGAAACGTCAGCAAGTAGCAACCCAAATAAGTTTACTCTAATTTTTTTTTTAATCAGTCGAATGCACCGAATGATTACCATAACGACTCCCTACAGAAACATCACTGACATAGATTCTATAATAAAATTCATTATGAAAAATCCAATCTTTGTTTATAAATAAGTAAATTATTAATTCAGAGGTTAACATAAGTTAACCTTAACAAAAACGAAAATTTGACTATTATTGGCCAATTGCCCCATTTCAGAAATGATTATCCTTGATGGACATACACAAAGCAGTACCGATCTGACTAAAAAATACACAAAAAAATGGAATATTTAATGCTCCAATGATAATGATGCGACCTTCTTTCTTAAATTTTCAACAATATGAGCTAAATTCGGTTAACCAACACCGCGTATGCAGCATATTGGCATCTTGTAAGGTCTACTGTTATCTTTTTTGGCATATCAAGTTAAAACGTGATATTCGTTACTCGAACAATTCGAGTAAACATTCGAGGGTATAAATGATTAATATACATATCCCTGTTGGTGTTGCGACCTACTTCCACTTATCAGTAGCGTTGTTTGTGTTTATTTTTAGGAACCGCCGTGTCCTGCAGGTTGAGATTTTCGTCTTTGGATACTGTACTGAAAGCTCTGCATTGTTGTTGAAGGTTGCAATCGCTAAAAACATTCTACTAATTAAGTTGCAAGGTCGACGGACTCGTATTACTTATCAATGAAAGTTTATCGATCACGTCATCGAAGTAACAATGGTATTGTTTAGATCACGTGATCGATAAGAAACCAAAGCAATACGTCAATTTCGTAACCCTGGTCGTTAATGAATTTCGAATCCTGTCCTTAGTCAATAAAATAGGTAAACTTCAGACCTACTATTCTATTAAAATCACAGTGATAATTATATTGTTGAAGCATTACGGCATCCTTAAAAACTTTATATGAAAAACAATATAATTAGGACACGTAAGGACAAAAGCGTAATTAGATGTTATCGTTTCTTCTGTGTGATACTACGTAACACCGATTTATAGTCTCTAATAATTAAAATAACGAGTCGTAGTTACGGTGTTTTCAATGTTAACTTACCCTACAACACGCGAAAACTTCGTTTTATATCCTAATCACATCGCGTACAGCAATATATTCAATTCCCATAAGGAAGTTACTTTACGTTGATCATCTCTAACTTACTAATTGTCTCATTAATTGCATTTTTTAAATACCAGTTCAACTGGGAATTCAAAAAACCGTACATAAACGTAATTATATGTGCCACGATCTACAATATTACACCCTGAAGCTATAGTCTGGGTCATGGAGCACCCTCCCACTTCATCTTCAATCACTATTATAGTTTCGGTCTGCTAGTTTTGAGGCCTCCCCTCATGATTTTTACATCTGTTAACGAGGGAAGCACGACTTTGACTGCACATCTTCAGAAGTAGAACGACCGAAACTTTAATAACCAGTTATAAATCTAATAAAATTTTCCTCTAATGCAGTGTGTTTATAATTGTTTAACACTTACGTACCTGTAGCCTCTGATTAGAGTTGACGACACTGTCCCTTGCATGCCCCATAACTATATCCGCACTCACAGCCCATGCCACAACACCTACAGAAAAAATTATACATACATACATATTAAAATCGTAAATTTAGATCACGATGTTACGTCATTTTAACCTTTATCCTTAATTTAGTTTACCCCAAAGATGCAGGAAGAAAGTACAGAAATGCCAAAAAGAAAAAAAAAATCTATGCGAAGGTTTACATATTTTCTAAACTAGGAAAAAATTCCTATTCTGTGTAGTTAATTAGTAGAGTTGTTGGCCCACTTCGCTTCGTTCAAATAGAGCAAAACTATACAAAAATTTAACTGAATAGTAAATTAGTGAAATTCCTGTACTTAGTTTCTTAACCTCTTAAAAGTACTTGTTATATTCTACATAGAATTCTATTTATATATAGTAAAAAACTCGATATAGCGCCATATAAATTAGCGCTATATCGGGTGTCGTACGATTTGTGGCGAAATAATGCCATATTCAACTTTTATAACAACTGTCACCTTTTAATAATAAAGGGTACTCGCTTACAGCGATTGTAAGTTAAACACAGAAAAAAAAAGGTTTTAAACTAAGTGCACGAATTGTGTGCTAAATCCAGTAGAAATTTCTTTAATTATAATTAAAAATTAGATNGGTAGGTCTTTTATTTTTGTGTGTGTGTATATATATATATATATAACTTATTCAATATAAATGTCACATGATGATTTATCACATATCATATTGCCTGACGATTTTACCCTTGAAACTATTCAATTGTATTAGCTTTTTTTTTTTTTAGCTGCTTTGCCTTTATTTTATTATGTTGTAATGAATAATGATTATCTTTTAGGTACCTACATTACCTAGATATACATCTCAAGTAGTTGGGAGATTTATAAAAGTAAGCATTATTTTTTTCCGTCATTAATATTTTCAGTTAGAAAGATTGATAAGTATTGCTTTCTTTATAGCCACTAAGTCAACCTTATCACGATTTAGCTACCGCATACACTACGAACAGTCCGGATGAAGTTAGAAATATCGTCAACAGGCACTCGGATACGTTCTTGCGGGTTAATTTAATCTTCAGACTTAGCATTCACTTTATTGAAGTTAAATGATAGTTACATTAAATTCTTTTCGTTTGTAGGATAATAATATGGGGCTAGTTAAACAATGCTTAGCTTCACTTTATAAGAAGAATATTCAAAGACTTACAAAGGTAAATTTTGATATTTTGAAGTATGTCAGTGTTGCATCTTGAATTTATTTATTTTTTATCATTTATAGACATTTCTTACGTTATCCTTAAGCGATATGGCAAATAGAGTTCAGCTCTCAGGTCCAAAGGAAGCTGAGAAATATATCTTACACATGGTAAATAAACAATTTAAGCATCGTGTTAACTCGATAGAAGTCAATTAATACATTTTAAAACTATTTAGATTGAAGATGGAGAAATTTTTGCTTCAATAAATCAGAAAGATGGAATGGTGGTATTCTTAGATAATCCTGAAAAATATAATACTCCGACAATGTTTAAAAGATTAGAGGAAGAGGTTATGGGCTTTTTCTATTTATTTTCTTTGCAAAACTTCATTGTATTAAGTAAAAAATCTCCTCTCACAGATGAGAAAATGCATTCAACTAGATGATAAATTGAGGCAAATGGATCACGAAATAGCAATGAATCCCAAATACGTTCAAAAGGTAAAAATGTAATTCAATTTTGATCTTTTTTTATTGTGGAAAAATATCGCTAGGAAAACTGACAAACGTTGTGTTGCAGAGTTCGGGAATGCAAGACGACGACCTTCCTGCTAGCACGGGATCCCTAACCGCAGCAAAAGTTCCAACTTACTCTATGTAAAAAAATAAAATTATAGTTTACTTAACTATATTTTTGAGTTGCAGATAATATGTATTAACAATTGCGAATATTTATTTGTACGATATGTTGAACCATCTGCAATAAATTTGAATTTTTTTTTAAATTAAATTTTGCTTGTTGAATGGAGAAGTTGTTTACATTTTGATTCTAAAATTTGATATGCGGGTATTATCGTAGATGAGAAGTCAAACGAGTTTGTCGGAATGACCTTGTAATTGCATAATCGCACGTATATTGATTTTATGTTGTTTCAAATTAATTTCTAATTGTTACTATAATTGAAATTGGGACAATGTTTATTTCAAAATTTTCAATAGAAACTATCAGTAATTTCATTTTCTATATGACAGCTTATATGAAAGAAATGATTGTAGATGATTTAATTTGAAGTTCACAAATCTAAAAGAATTTACTGTTAATTGTGGTTAAATAAAATTTTAATATGTTTTATACTTGTTTTATTATAGATCTATATCTTTTATTATAATCTATTATTACTAGGAAGATAAAGCAAAAACAGAAATGAAGGTCATATATATTCTCATCCTGTTTTAGCCTCAGGCATTATGGAGGGTCAGGCCAATTGGGATGTCACCTATTTTCCTAGAGTACATTAGCTTCAAAGAACAAATCTGGTATTAAGTATAAAAAGTAATTTGCCGATAATTATCGGTTTTTTGTCTCGAAAGAAAACTCGGAAGTTGTGCTTTCATTATCCGTTTCTGTATCGATCTCTATAGACACTTACCCATTGTTTGATACAAAAAAAAACAAATTTATTTTTAAACTTTTTACATACATATATAAAATTAATGTTTACATTTGGGGAAAATTTGATCTCACTATTGGAGAAATTTTATTTTTTGGAATAAATAGATGATGGTTTGGCAAAAATCTGATTCATTCCCCTTGTCCGAGAGCAATTCATTTATTTACATACTCATTAATGATATCCTCCTACAGATACACCTCCTTCACCTTTATTTCCTCCTAAACCCACTCCTTTTTCTAGCACCACGCCAAAAACTACACGACCGTTTAAATTCACTTTTGGTTTAGGCAAAAATGGTAAGAATAAACTTTTGATCACACTAAATGGTTCTACGTGATGGCCGCCATGGGAATGATAATCTGATCCTCCGTAGCCACCCTGATTAGATCCAAATGTTATAGTCACTCCCTTGGGTGCTTCATATCCTTGACCGTATCCACCGTCTTCGACACTCCCCCATCGATTAGAATCGTATCCTTGAGCTTCACGATTTGGTTTATGAATTGCAGCGGGAGGCGGATGCTGTGGAGGCAGTTGTTCAGGTTGATGGAAGTAAGGCACTGCTTGTTGCGATGCTTGCTTTGGTATATATCCATGGCTCTGCTCAAAATTGGGCGGAGGATGATGTGGCCTCAAATGTGGTGGCGGCGGAGCATACTGTTGTTGTTGTGGTGGCGGTGGTGGAGAGTGATGTTGTTGAGGTCTTGCCGATGGAAAGTGAGGTTGTGGCTGATGTTTTTGCGGCAAATGATGCTGATTATAGTAGGACTTGGGTGGATTGACAGGTTGTTGTTGTATTTGCACTTGTTGTTGCTGTTGTGGAGCATAATTACCACCATTATTTGCAGGATAATAAGTACGAACACCCTGATCATCAAAATTATCACTAGAACGCTTTGGACCATTTTTTGGTTGCNATCGATATGTTAGGACTGATGATGAGGAGCCTCGAGGGTAAATCGATATGTTAGGACTGATGATGAGGAGCCTCGAGGGTAAATCGATATGTTAGGACTGATGATGAGGAGCCTCGAGGGTAAATCGATATGTTAGGACTGATGATGAGGAGCCTCGAGGGTAAATCGATATGTTAGGACTGATGATGAGGAGCCTCGAGGGTAAATCGATATGTTAGGACTGATGATGAGGAGCCTCGAGGGTAAATCGATATGTTAGGACTGATGATGAGGAGCCTCGAGGGTAAATCGATATGTTAGGACTGATGATGAGGAGCCTCGAGGGTAAATCGATATGTTAGGACTGATGATGAGGAGCCTCGAGGGTAAATCGATATGTTAGGACTGATGATGAGGAGCCTCGAGGGTAAATCGATATGTTAGGACTGATGATGAGGAGCCTCGAGGGTAAATCGATATGTTAGGACTGATGATGAGGAGCCTCGAGGGTAAATCGATATGTTAGGACTGATGATGAGGAGCCTCGAGGGTAAATCGATATGTTAGGACTGATGATGAGGAGCCTCGAGGGTAAATCGATATGTTAGGACTGATGATGAGGAGCCTCGAGGGTAAATCGATATGTTAGGACTGATGATGAGGAGCCTCGAGGGTAAATCGATATGTTAGGACTGATGATGAGGAGCCTCGAGGGTAAATCGATATGTTAGGACTGATGATGAGGAGGAGAGTAAATCGATATCTGAGAACTGGTGATGATGGGGAGATCAGGATAAAAATATTTCAAACTTATGCTGATATAATTGGAAGCAATTTTTCTGCAAAATTTTTGCAAAATAATTCCATTTTTAAAGATCTGGATGATAAGACCTTCAATTTAAAAATTGCGGAAATGATTATTTCTGCAAAACAGATAAATTTATTGATGAAATGTCTGGACTTTATTTGAAACCAATTGGGGCAGTCAGTCAGTAGGAAAGCAGAATGTGTACACCAGGAAGGAAAAATCTCTGTGCAAAATTCAATCATGCGAAACAATATAAATTTATTTCATATTCATTCATATAAAAATTATATTCATATTTTGCGTAAATCCGGTTTCCAAATACGTATGATGATGATAATGATGATGATATTTTAAAATATTAATCACTTGTAATTAATTACAAAAACTTTTCCTATTAATTCCTCGTTAACGTTTTCTGCGGTCAGATTTATCTTGATTTTTCATAATCAATTTTCCTGTTTTTATGGTAATTTTCCAGGAAATTTTAAACATTATTATTAATTTAATTTCTATTGTAAATATAAACTTAATGTCTACACAGACTTTAGCAGAATTAACTGATGTAACGATGCGATTAAGGATTGTCGGCTCTTCCATCCATCCGCATCTTTTAACCTATAAAATATGATTCATTATACTGATGGACTACACATAACTATGATAATTATGGCACAGGTGCATTGCCCTTCGGGATAATAATTAATTATTTAAATATCATTGCAATAACTTCCTAATTTATGAATAATTCGTGATGAAAGCAAGGTATACGAATTGATGAAGGCAGGTAGAATCGTGCAATTGATGCTACTTATGCAAAGGTTTTCTTTTACATTTTTATATAAAATACAACTCAAGTAAGACCTAATTGTGTTTTTGTTTACTTGCAAACTTTTATCCCCTCTCACTTACATTAAACCAGACTATTTAACAGTAAAACTACAAAAATGATGTCTTCTCAAGTATGCTGTAAATACTATAAAATAGGAAGTTTAACCTAGATTACGAATGATACCTGTAAACATAATTGCCTCAGGGTATTTATTATTTCGAGACGACTTCTGCTGACCGAAGATGCTTTAGGTGCACACCACTCATTTTAGTGTACATCGACCTATTTATTAGTGTCAAGCATTTGTTAGTAATAATTACAGTCCTTTTATGTGCTTGCCAACGAAAGATAAAGGGAAAAAACAATGATTCGGAGGATGTGTCTTAATTAGGTGTTTGACAAGCGAATTATTTGAGAACCAGAATGGGGGGGTTTCGTTTGTTTAGTGTAAACTTCGTATTGTTCAAATGAACTTGGAATAGGATTTCCTACTATTCCATAGATTCGTACGAACAAATAGACGGAAGGGGGTGATAAAATATCGAGCAATACGATTAAAAATATATAGTAGAGCGTTCAAATGAATTCTAATATTTGAAGAAGCTTGCATTGTAAAAACAAATGCTGCCTTGTCAATTAATGAAAAGTAATATTTTTTTCTTCTGTGTGACAAGAAGCCTTTGAAGGTTATTTGCATTAATATCAGGATATCTATGTCTTTAAATTAGCATTAAATACATACTCAATTAGTCTCGCAAATTTTTTTACTCGTGTGTTAGCGTGTATATTACAGTATATAAATTCTTTTTACCAGTGGCGTGCGGTCATTGGAAGCGATGGATGCGTCGCTTCTCTTGTATTTTCTAAAAAATAAATACATATTAATTTTAATTATATGAAAATTATCGCACAATATTTTATTATAACCGCATTATGTATCTTATTACAAATTTCTATACTACACGTGAAAATAAAGATAAGATTGCTATTGTATATTCGAATATTAGTGGCGGAGTGGAAGCGCTGTATTGTCAGCATCCAAACAGCCAGATTTGCGCATGAGCTTTACAGAGCACCAACCTCACCCGGTTTAGCCGGTGGAAGCCTAGGATCTCGGGTGGATGCTACACGTATACCGCATCCAATTCTATCCGGGACCGGATCTAGGCTGTTAGCCGCCTGCCCGCTAGGTATTTGGCCGCCCTCGCCCGATTACGTGAAAACCACGAGTAGATTTATAACTTAACCCAACCGATAAGAATTTACTGGTATGTTTTTACGATAGTTCTGTATAGTTGACAGGAGTTTTAAAAACACCCACTAAAATATTTGATATTTTTATTCCGCTCTCCGATTTTATATTACTCACGGATTTCAATGTTAAACCGGTGATATTACGATTTCGTATATCTTATCTTTAAGGGGATGTAGAGAAAAACGTGCACAGTTCTCGTATAATGTTAAAAAATTAACTGTTACTTTGGTATTATAATTTACAACTAAATTTAATGAATGAGAGAGTTGCACCAGGTACAGAAATAGTTCTAGAATTTATTTTCCTTAAATTTACTATTTATGTATCCGTTGTCGTAAAAATTTGTCTTTCCACTTTTTTCCGAGACTACAAATATTCGAGTACAAAGTAACTGGTTTCTACTTATTTCTACTTAAGAAGTAGTTAAATAATTAAGCGATTAGGGAATTGGTGACATAAACAAAACCCTGATGAAAGAGCCGAAATTTTACTTAAAAGGTTAACCAAACCAATCTCTAGCCGAGTAGAGTGGGACTGATTTCTTCGTAATATTAGATGTAATAAAGAGAGAAATTTTTCCAGTTCAACGAGTGTGACCGAAAAGTTGTAAATTTTGGAAATTTCCGTGGACAACACCCGGTCCTAAAACGAATTAGTTAAAAAACAAATGACGGACAATCTATTAAGTTTAACGTATTTAGATTTTTACAGGTATGGTGAGAAACGTTTAAAATTTACAACGACCCTGTCGCGTCCTTTGAGATATACTAGTGATGCGACAAAAGACATTTGACATTAACCGGTATCGGCACCCTCGAGATTTGGCACGCATGCACGCGCCGCACACCTACCAAGATCGTCTCTGATTCCATCCACGAGCCACTGGTAGGAAGCAATTTTAACTAAGCGGATTGTTTTAATATTTAAAAAGTAAAGAACATTTTATGTTATTTTTATGTACGTTTCTTAACAAAACTATATTTTTACAATCGAATATTTTGTACCAGGTATGTATAATTGTATATCCATCACACATTTTATTCCACCAAGTAGGTTTTTATAATTTTATTTTTAATTTTAGCCCTTATATTATGGCTAGCGATTTAGAATGTAATTGCGATATTGAAAATTTATTTCAAAAATGTTTTGGCTCGAGACCGTATAAAGAAAAAGAAGACATTATTAATTAAAAGAGAATGACCAATGCCTAAATTAAATATAAACACTTCAGTAAAAAAATTTGTTCGACCTTTTCACAATAAAATTGATGAAGATGTAAAATGGCTTTGTGGATGCATAAAAATGCAAAAATTGTTTTGTTGGCCTTGCCTATTATTTTCGAATGAAATTAGTGTGTGGAATAAGAATGGCTTTACGATTTAAATAATTTGAGTAAAGCTGGCAAAAGACACGAAAATCGTAAATCTCGCATCGATTCTTTCGTAAAATTAAAGCAATTTGGAAATCAAAATAGAATAGAATTCAACATTAGTAAACAATATAAAATTAATATTGAAATTTATAATAAAGTTACGGCTAATAGATATATTATATCTAAATTAGTAGATGTTATCGAAGCAAGAATTGGCATTTAGAGGGCATAGGGAATCTATTGAATCTAATATAACAGAGGTAATTATATTGAACTTGCTTATTTATTAAGTGCGTTAGATAATCTATTAACACCTAAATAGGCACCGGTATCTGTTAGAAAGTCGTTTCGAGTGGCACCCCCTTTGGCAGATCGTTCACGTGTTGCGTTGCCTTATCCCATCGAACTAAATCACACTACACGATAAAATACACATTCCTAGCTTGCTTCTTGTAATATTGAACGAATTCTATTAAAATATTGAAGTATGCACACTGTGGGTATGTGAAGAGATTTATACATCAAATGTAATACTTAAATACATTAAGCATACTTTTATTATATACCAAGACAATATTTACGTTAGTAAGATAAATTTTTACAGGGTAGGCCTACTTCAGGAATCACACACAGGCAAAAAATTTACTTTATTATGCAATCAACTATATGGGTTCCATTTAGCTGAAAGCACTACGAATGCTTTCCTCCTATTCACGACAAATGCATATGCTAATATATCTGACGTTATACACACATCGCCCTTTTCGGTCAGTTCTGATGGCCTACGCTTTGCATGGAGACCCTTGAATCACCCTATATGTATAGTACAGTGGCGTGCCATGACATTTGATGATAGGGAAGCTGCGTTTCTGTAAGAAGCCGACTTCCAGGGACAATCAGTCAGCGTTGGTCTAGGGTCCATTCGTATTCGTTTGTTCGATAAGCCAGTAAAAACCGTAGACTTCTCTAAATGTATTTTTAATTAAACACGTGAAGAAGACTAGGAAAACACACGGTGAGGTGCGAACCAGTGACTACACAATCAGTATTTAGTGATTTAATCCACTCGACCACCGGTGGTCTATTACAGTAAGAGAACAATGATAGTGTTCTGTCAATAAAAACAGGCATCAAACACGTATTTACTTTAGAAATAAGTATAGAATCAAAAACTGCAAGAATTAATGTTTAATACACATTATTTAATGTTTAGTACACTCAAAATGACCCAATTTATTAATAATATTTTTGTACAAGAGCGTCCTTGAGAACCCCCCTTCTACCGTACAACCGTCATCGACGTTAGTATGGTCACGCTCGAGTGTCTTACCCGTTGACAATAATTCAGGTTAACATTATTAAATTATAGTGAATGTTTGTTTATTTCATGCTCAATTTAAAATGGAATCGTTTCATACAGGAATCGCTGTTTTGCACTTTCCTGTTTTTCACAGCTAATTATTGTTGTGACGTATTAATTTTTGCAGTTTTCCATAAGGGAACGTCGTACAATTTTATATTATTTGTAAGAATTTTTGCCCCCAGGCAATGTTTAGAAATAAAGAAGATCATTGTAAGAACGATCTACTTTAAAATGGAGCAACAACCTCTTTGGAATGAAAAGGGTGAAACGGTAGCAAAGATGTGCCATTTTCTTTCTTCTTCTTTTAAGACAAATCCAGAAAAATGGCACATTTTAAACTTTCTCTCCCCAACAATCCGATAGAAATAACATTAATTTCAAACTGGAAGATCGGCATTTTAGGTTATAAGGTTAACAATTAATAGCATTGTCGGAAGTGAAGGTATTTAAGAATTTGTTATTGTTGTTGACCTTTTAGTCCGTCACGTCACGAGCCGAATCACATCTGTAATTTGTACGTGAATAAGGACAGGAAGTTGAACTATATTTAACTACGACATTTATAACTTGGGTGGTTACAAGGTCGTTCGTTTACTTGACCTCAGGGTGAGGTTTTTTTTCGAGACCTTGATCTTCTCGATTCGGTCTCTGCCCCCTTATTTCTGTGATTTTGAGAGGTTTTTTTTTTCTAACGAATTTTAAGTCACTAATCGCCATTAAAACAGACTTTTCACTTAACACGCGGAAGATTTAACACACGTGCCACACCCTTACCTATATAGGAACATTGGTATTTCCTTAAAGAATTTTAATTAACTTATGATATCATCAGAAAAATAGAACTTTTAACGAGAAATCGGATTTAGATTTGCATTTTCATCCGCATATTTGTTTTACGCCTTATAATTTAGGCGTAAAACAGCCGCACAAACAGGCAGTATGCTGCGAACTTCTCGTGGATGTGCCACAAAATTTCAAAAAAAGAAATTAATATAAAATACTCAGAAAATTAACGTTACTTATCATTAATGTTTACAAGAGCATCTTAGATGTGGCACGCGCTCGTCGATGTGCCACATCTTATTTTACTATGACGTACTTAATACGTCTTTTGTTAAACTATAAATGAAATGTTTTTGAATTTTATTCGAATTTTTTTTGTTCAGTAAAGATAGATAACCCCTTAGAAAGTTGTGTAATTAGGGTACTCATACATTCAATATAAGTTATTAGTGTATATATATATATATACACAACATTTTCCTCGTGTCAACGCCTTAAATTTTTTCTGGCCTCTCAATAAGCCATAAAAAAATATGTACTAGTAGGGAAAAGAAACTCGATTTTACTTCTCCATCTCCCGCAAAGGGCCCCTTGACGTAACAGAAAGTTACCTTTCGTAGAATGATAAAAAGCGGGGCGATCTTCCTCAATTGTTTCAGTACTTTTTCGCACGTCTAACCTACATTTCTGCCAGTTATAATTTCCGAGAAGAGCTAAATGTGTATAAAATCGATGACGTCAGTACTCCCTCCTAGAGAAAAGGTGGATGACCTTATCCGGAACCATAGCAACTAATAAAATCCCTAAACTATGTGCCACTTACTTATTAAATATCTTTAAAAACATCGTGGTTTAAATATTTCTTCTGATTATTTAACCTTAATTCTACAATACAAGTGTCAGTCAACACACAGATAATGTAGTGAGGTTTTTTATTTAAGATTTAATTGATCTTTCCGGAGCTCCGACTAAAAATTCCAATTGTGTAATTGGATTTCTTGTAAGAACCCTAAATTAACCACTCCAATTTCATTATAGACGAAGGGGAACTTTCTTATAGGGTTAAATACACGACCTTTGACCCGCATTCGCGAAGTAAGCTGGCTACTCACCTCTAAGATTCTCTAACGTCCTACTGACCTCAAATGTGTCGATTTTGTCTCATACAGGAAGAGCGAGATACATCATCGTCGTATCCTCCTTTTTCTCATTTTGTATAGTGTTTTACATAAACGACCTTTTGCTCTCGTAGGGCCCTCGGGGTTTTCTTCCTTGTTCTAGATCATATCCTCACTTATAATGAATTAATATACCCAAGAGAAGAGAAAGGGTAAAATCGTGAATCTATTTCTAGAATCTTATCTCGTCACTTGAGGCACAAATGGATAAATTTATGGAATATAACAGGGAAGCGAGACTCTAACTTTATGACATTTAATAACATTAAATTATTATAGTGTTAGCGATTCATTTCCAGGTTACATTTGTACAATTAAATATGACAAGACGAAATTTTGATGAATTTGTATGCTAATTTTCCTGTATTTTTTGTATGAAGAGTGTCAGTTCATTAGTTAATGTTATATCAATTGACGTTTCCTTGTATGGAAAAAATACAATATCAATAGAAATGTGGCCTGTATAGTATGACGTATCTGCTTAAAAGGCCCGTTAAGATGACGTATCATCTTAACGGGCCATCATCCAGGAATTTTTCGGGGGGTGGTCTGTCCCGGATATGCCACCACACTGTGAGATTGACCGAACCTAGGTCGGAACAGACAGAAAGACCCTCTTAATTGCCACAGGGCAAGTTTAATAATAAAACTAGTGTAAAATTTTCAGTGTATTCCGCAAACATGTGAAGAAATCGCGTCACTAATTGTAGAAATGAATCATCATCAGACACGAATGAAAGATTTCTATGAATATTTTCACCAAATTCTTCGAAAGCTCCGACCCCTAGAAGTTTACACACGTGAATAAAAGGAAAAAATAAATGTCAGAGATATTATATAAAATTGTAATATACGAATTATTCCGCGCTTAGATCATAATAAACTTGAAAATTAATTGAAGCTCCGAAACTCGTACCCTTCCTCAAAAATTCAATGTCACGTCATTCATGCAAAGAGTTTTTGATATATGTTTCCTTTATTGGTTTTGATACTCCTCGCTCCAATTATTATATCATTTTTCTCTCGATAATTCGGCACATTTCATAATTACGTGGCGATTTTGTAGTATCGAACACGGGATCGCAATTGAAGACACGGGATCAAGAGTTGTTATGCTACTAGAGCAAATAAAACGTTTAGGAGGGGAAAACGGCATATGCATGATTGATTTCTATATATTGAATGTTAATCCCCTGTTCTACTTTTATATACGAACAATTTTTTGGCACGCTACCGAAATATCCGCCATATTTAACACGAATAATAAAATTCTTTTACGTATATCTTCTCGATTTATAAATATATCTTTGAAGATCGTTCAACCGCATTTGTCATACATATTTTTTTCCATAGTCTGACAGTTTATTTTCTGTACAGAAATAAACTTTTCTACAGAATTCTTTCGTATGCAACATGTATTATAGGTCAGTAATACTGTATAGAGGGAGGCTCTGTGTTACAATAGACTAATATAACAATGAAGTTACTATTTTAATGTACTAGATTTAATTAATTCACTGGAATTATATATAATACTTTTTAATGTCTTCTGATACGGAAATTGATTTGATAACACAACTTTTATTGTATTTAGGTGTATTCAGTTGCCATTTTTCTAATATCTTCTCTAATAAATCCATTGTTGTCTCTACAATGGATTTATTAGTGTGATTTTGGATGAAATAATTGAATTATTAATCGTGCAGTGTCCTAAAGTCTACTCATATGTGAAATTAGGGCTTACAGCTCAACAGAAAGAATTTATTCCACCTGTATAAACGATATTTGGATTTTTTGGGGAATAATTCATACGACAAAATCAAATAAATAGAAAAATACCACAGTTTAATGCGGAAATTCGTTAGAGCAGAATGCATTCAGCGTATTAAAAAGAGTTATTAATAGTTTACTCGTGTTTTTTTTTTTTCGTTATTGTTTTTCTTTTTTAATATATATTATTAACAATTTTAGTTTTTAGTTGCTTCTATAAATGAGTTAGTAGATATTTTAAGTAATAAATCTTAAAAAAAAATCATTTTCTGGAGCTTCTTTACTATTTACATGGTAAAAATAGAAAGAACAATTTCCTCATTTACTTAATTAATCGTATTTTTCTTTCAGAAATTAAGATATAAAATAATATCAAGGTATATCTGATAAATTACGATGATTTGTACTTTTTGACGGGTTGACATTTTGGCACCCACACGTTTCGTCGTCAACTCATTTTGATATGGATATTTCATCTTTATCATAATCAATTTTCACTTCGCAATAGATTTTCTACATTTCTCTAGGAGACTTTTGCCATTTCTATGTCTCTCTTATACTCTCTTTGTCATGCCACATTGTCTCGTGCTTCTTTTCATCCCCTTCCCATGTTTTCTCGGATCTTTTCATTCTCTGTATTCTCCATTTCATTAGTATACATGGTAGCCATTCTTCCTCTTTATGTCTCATATGCCATACCATTGAAGCTGTCTTTACTTAATTTCTTATATGTGGAATACAAGAAACATTTTCCTTTAGCTTTATCTCCTGTATGATTACTTCATTCATTACTCTTGATTTTCTTACTGCGATTCCAGAAATTAATTTCTATTGTCTATTCTCCTGTGTTTTGTTCATTTTCACAAGCAATCTTATGCTTATGAGAACGAATTCTACAGAATATTCTGGAGTATATGCATTTCGTCCCTTATGGTCCTCTTTATTTTACATCAATCTGGTTATAAGAAACATCACAAGAATTTAAGTTATAGTTAAAAACACATATAAAGTTACAACGAACACAGTATTACCTAGATGATAGAAGTTATACGTCTGTTATGGTTATTGAGGCAATTAGATTTTAATGTACAGTAAAATACCTAATTGTAAAATAAGTAAACTGAGAAGAGTTTTAAATAAAAATATTAATACAAATTATTATTTAGCATTATGTCAGTTTTTCAATGATATTTTCTTTACTTTTTAATTTTTCAGTTTTATTGTTTAACTCTTTCAGCTCTATGGGCTTTAATAGAACCACTTAGTGACCATTCTGTGCCTGGCCAACAAGCTGACTACGTGGCATTTTCCGGATTTTCTTCACGTTTGTAACAAGCTAAATACGGGCCAGTTTCCCATAGAAAGAATCCTCCCGGGAGGTATCCCTCGTGAGGCGCATTGCCCTATACAATGGAACAATTGTATAGGGCATTGTATATGGCATCGCCCTACACAATGTCCTATACATCTAGAGGCATCTGCAGTCACAACCCTGGGAAATTTTTGAGACAAACCGAACCTGGAATTGGTTCCCTTCAGAACGCCTTCGCCTGATGACCAGTCAATTTACATATTGTAAATTTATGATATCGTGTAAAAATGTTTTCTTTTTGACATTTCGGTAAAACCAGAACGATTATTTCAATTAAGGTAATCTACTTATAATTTATTTTATATTTTAAAAAATAAGATCGTTTATAATTCTAATCTAAGGCGCAAGTTCTTCAAGAAACTCATTTCCCGTTAATGAAGCTAATGAAAGATTTGGAAACATATAAAAACTTATTTAACTAGAAGTTCCGGGAATTATTTTAAATCGAGGAAAATATTTATAAAAATTTAAGTTAGTATAAATATAAAATGAAAGAACCGGATGGTCGAGATGTTAAAGTGTCAACAGAGCTGAACTTGGACTGGTCATGGCCCTAAGCTGTAACACATAACAGGCCTTTCCCTTCCACCAATGAAGATGGATTTAAAAATGAGAGGCCCTAAACTCATAAAGCCAGGCCCTTGTTTACTTTACATGCAAATCCTACTCTGGGAGACCCGAAATCGAATCTTAGAGCAACCCCAGAAATCTTTCATGGGCTATTTCTTTGTTTCTATTTCTCGGAATGACTGGAGAAACCTATCATATCCTGTTTAATCATAATGCACAATTCTGTTTTTAGAATTAATTCTTAGAAATTGAGCTTTCCGTTATTGCATACCGTAGCAACATTATAAAAAATCGTGATGAGAAAATGCTATTTAAAAATTATTAAATCAATAATAATTCCATAGACACTAATAATGTATTACAATGCGAATAAAAATCCTTGTGAGTTATACGAAATTAAATTCCGTTCCAAATTGTTTCCAGTAAATATCACCTTTGTGCGAATTATATTCGTAATATGAAAAATCCGAGAGAAGTGAAATAACATTCAAGCCAGATATAAATGGCCCACCGTTCAATAGTGGACCCAGAAATCTTTAGAGGGGTAAAGAAAATTTTTACTATCCGACGTACCCAGATAGCCCCCCAGTGGTCCTTAATCCTGTCCCGACACAATTATTCGAGTGAATATAACATCACTGAATCGTGGTACTTGGTGGTGGATTCCTGTCTGATTAAAGTAATGGCACATGGAGTTTTCCGGGTTTTCTTCACGTTTCAAGCACCTAAATATGGGCATATTTTCTAATAGAAAGTCTTCCCAGAAGGCACCTCCTTGGTAGATTGCTTATACGTTTCGTTGCCTTAAACCATTAATCCAATTCAATCCTGATTAAAATGTAGAACCCAACTCTCTCCTACATCCACGAAATTACCTCAAATGAATAAAATCAATAAAACAAAAGGATTTTTTTCATTACTTATCAAAAGAAACTTCAATTTATATCAATCACCTCGCATAAAATTTTTAATTTTGAAGATCGTTTTCGTCCGAGGAGCTGGCCAAACGGGTCCTACTGTTTCCTACTGTTACCTTTCCTATTTGGATTGGGAATACAAGTAATTATTTTTAATAATACCCATAAAACTTTTTATTATTTTTAGTAAAATTGCGTGACTCGCTACACGATTAACTTTTTTTTTATTAATTTATATGGATGATAAATTGGGCCATTATCACGCGAGCTCTAAAATTTCAGGAACAGCACAGAAAAATCTGCTATAAAATATTAAATTAAAATATATCGTAGCACGAATAGACACGCAGACAGGTCATGTAAAACAATTTCAATTGTGTAATTTATTGTCTTGATCTGATTAAGTATTCACAAGTAGCCTTACAATATTTTAATTTCAGTTATTGTAATTCATAAAATGATTTTAAATTAAATTAATTGGAATATTATACAAATTTAATGTATTTATATTCGAATTATATACAATCTTTCAGGTATAAAGTCTACATAAACACGTTATGTATATAGAATTATACAGTATAAAATTGTTATAAGTTATCAAAACATAATAAGGGTGAGCCGCTTACTACCGAGTAATTAATTTGGTACGATTAATAATAGATTTTGGAAGTTTATTTATGGAATTATCAGTAGGAAAATCAAAGAATAATTGGAAAATGGATCATAATTGTTTTAATTAATGCATCAAACATTAACTGTTTAGCGATGTTTTACGGCTAGGGGAAATTCTCTAAACGAAAATATCGAAGGAAAAACCACTTTCGGATTTAGGAGAGGTCGATAGGGCGATCACCCCTTTTATTACTAACAGAAACATTTCTATGTTGTTCAATATACAAATTAGACTTCTCTAAGACTTCCTCCTAGAATTTTTTGAGGTGATCTGAGTACAGTACATAAAACTTTTATCCAGCAGTAGATCATATAAAGTTCATAAAGAGGAATGTGTGTCTGCATAGAATTTTTACCGAGAGAAGAAAATCATACATACAATACGCCCATTTCCCAGTAGGGGTGGGCAGCGAGCGAGAGGAATTACATACTCATCCGTTTATCGGATTCCTCCATCACCTCCATCTTTCGCTCCTTCGAATACTCATTCACATGCTCTAACAAGCAATTCTTTGATCCTGAAAACAGGATTTTCTCCCTAGTTTACTTTCTTCAACTTTACTTCAACTCTACCCAAGTTTATGAAAACCTCTTTAAAACGATTACTTACAAAACACAGGAAAATTGCTCATCTGAAAGGGTGATTGTCTTAAAAGGGTGGCCATCTAGAGAGGTTTCATTGTGTGTGCTCACCAAAAATGTTTTCCCATTTATTTTCTCAACATGGTCAAACTAATGTAAAGCAGAAAGAAAAGCATGAAGGCTTAAAATAAATAAGTATAAAAAAAATAAAGTATTAATTTTAAATAAGCTTATATAAACGTACAGTACTTGATGATATTTAATTTAATAATTAATTGAGTTTTATATACAAAATGCTACAGTAAAATAGTCTTGATTATATATACTTAAATGTATTAATTTTTTCTCGTAACTTTAATATAATTGTCTCAAGAATTTGACATTAAAAAGAGTTTAAAAAGCTATTTAGAATATTTCTCATTAAAATATTTAATTTTCTTGACAACAGATGGCAGCAACAGTAACATAAACACCAGAGTGGATAGATATACTGGTCCTTGAACTATGCTCGCCAGTAGAGTTAATGTATCAGGTTGCCGATAGCTGGCGTGAGAGTCGCTGTTAGGCGAGAAGTTTGTTTATCTATTTGATTAGAGGTAGTTTTCCCGTTTTCAAGCATTTTTGTAATTTTTTTCTACTGTTATGTTAAAAAAAAACTTATTCGTAATTACATTTTTTAAATTTTATATCATGTATAAAGAAAGAAAAAGTGTATTTGGTTTATAAAAGAAATTTAATAACATGATTTAAAAAATTTTAAATTACAGATGAGGATATGGATAAATCGAAAATACCTATATTTTCGATTTAGTTTATCCAGGTTTTAAATAGCTGTTTAAAACTGTTAAAACTAATATCTCAAATACTATAGTAAATATAACAGAGACTTATCACACTGCTACTGTTAACATAAAAATGACAGTTCTATCATCAGAATGCAATCTTCTATTATCAATACAGTAAAAACTGCTTAGGCGACCACCTGCATTCGACGGGCACCTGTCAAAACGGGCGAAAATTTCCGGCACGGAATAGTTTATCCATAGAGTCTTCGTATAAGTTACCTGTATTAAACGACCACCTGTGTAACGCGACCGCGGGCATCGATTTTTGGTCCGAAACAACATACAACACCTGTAATAAGAGACCACTTTCGCGAATGTATCTGGTCTAAACTATTGTAAGAACCCATCTCAACAACGTTTCCACCTCCTAATATAATGATTAGTCTAAACTCTAGTTCGAACCTATCCTGGACACTTTTCCTACCCTTGAAATTAGGTGCAGGTGTTAACGATACAATAGCGACGATTATTATTTTAAAAAATTTTTGTTAGGCTTAACATCGATGAAAATTCAACGCGAAGTAGATTAATAGCGATATACTAATATACTAATTACATGGGATATAATAATATATTACACTAATAATGGATTTTTTCATACTTTTCGGTTATCCGACCGATCCCAGTCCCCAATTGAGTCGGATAATTGAGGCTCTACTGTATTATCATCTGATATCTCAAATAAATCTTTCTGAGAGTTTTTTTTAGTTTTAGTTTATAACGAAGCAATTTATTCTCAGTTGA